AATTCATAAGACAAGAACAGTAAGAAAAATAGTATAACAACATGATTCAAGATGGACAAATGCATCAAGTCTCAATCTTTAGTGTTAGGCTGGCATAGTCAGGCTGGCCTTTCAAAACATGACAAAATATTGTTCAATGTTAGATCTTCCAAAAATAAAAATGAACTAGAAAATTTTAAGACCTACATAAAAGGGAACGAATTGTGAGCATGGTTCAAAGAATAGTCCAATGTCCAAGCCATATCCGACTTGGCACTTTCTAATTTGCCTCCCATGTAAATCACGAGTCTTACTCAGCTTGTGATTGGGGCGAAAAAGTCTCAATCGACTTGGTTGAGTTGTCCACACTATCGTCATTGACTCGCAACATATCACATGATAACATCTTCGACGACTGGAAATAGTCTGAATCTCTAGCCATGTATAACTTCTGATTCTATCTATTATTTGTGTCGCCTGACATTATCCCACGACATCACAATCGATGCTTCTCAACGCCTTTGACTCGACAGCTTATACCTACACCTTGAACCGTGACTGTGAGCTGATGTGAATAAACAAGAGCTTGGCATTCACCATGTGCCTATTAGTCATGTTGTTCTATTTAGAAAAATCATTAACAACTATTTGGAGATATGCGGGTTTTAATGTGAATGGGAAACATGGAAGGTAGGATAAGAAATAAGATTTAAAAATTTGATACAAAATAATTTTACAAAGAAAATTTAGGCACCATGACAGATAGTCGGAACAAAACTTTGTTAAGTTGAGTTGAGTTAAACATCTGTCTTTTATCAAATCTCAAATAAAACAATCAAACGCTGAGCTAAAAGTAAGAATTGCATCAGATATATAAAAATTTACATTAACAAAAAAGTCCCATGTTCCGATAACACAAACCAATCCACGGAAACTTATTGGGCCATAAGGATGAAAAGGACATAATTTCATAAACAGGTGGAATAACCATAGCAAGGCCCTGCACATCAAACAGAAGGTAACGTTCAACTAGAGGTAATTACAAAAAACCACCACGTACTTGGGGGCAGTTGCATTAACCTCCTTTAGCTTCAAACATTTGCAGTAAACCACCCTAAACTTCAAATCAATGTACTAACCATAACTGAGCAAACATTTATTTGAAAAAGTCCAAAATAACCACCACCCTTGTATTTTCAAGTCCTACCATCCTTCATCTTTCACATTTTTCTTTGTACAGACCACCTCAACCAATCCCCTCTATAAGTCTCTCTCGTCAATTAATCAGTGCCAATACCACACCCAACATCTATATCTAGAATTCTCCCTTCTCTGCGTGTAGCTACACATCCAACTCTAACACCACCCACCTGCCAAGGACAAGAACAAGCTCAGCAAACAAACCAAGAGGACAAACAAGCCATGACCAGTGATCATCACCCACAACCTCCATCCTACCTGACCCCATCACCAGCGCCCCCTCTACCACCATTGAAACCATGTGTGCCATCGAATCTCAATCTCACCACCTACACCAAACCCACGACAGCCTAACACCCTAATATATTGTAATCTCGTCCACCCCACACAACCAAAATCCTGCCTCCAACAAAGCCCACAACCTATAACCATTGTCCCCCCACCAGATCAAAGAAAGAAAGTAGATAGATAGGAGATGAACCCAATAGAATAGAAAGGGATCTACTAAACTCCTGTTGATTCCCAGAATTGAAGAGGAACCCATTAGATTGCGGAGAACATCTATATCTCCCCCATTAAACTAAAAGAAAAATTAAACCCAGATTTGTGTTTCCTTCAAATTGAAGCTTGATGATGCAGGAGCATCCTTGGTGTAGAACATCATCCTCCACACTAATGTGAGTCCACCCCAACTGACTGGAACTTGGATTATGGGATAAATGAATTGAATCTGCCTCTTCCAAAAGTTGCGACTTTTGGGCCAAGAGGTGGGTCTTCCAGCATTACATGGCAATCTCAGATTGTAACAAGAAGTCTCGACTTCGAGACTCTTCCAATGTGGATGTATAGGATGCAGGAGCATCCTACTTTCAGAGCATCATTCTCCGCACTAATGCGGGTCCATCCCAATTGACTGGAACCTAGGCTATGAGACAAAGAAATTGATTCCACTTCTCCGACAAGTCACGACTTTTGGATCAGGTGGTGGGCTACCAGCGTCATGTGATCTCAATCTCCAACCAAACAAACACAAATCTCTTGCTACTATCATACTAAGAAAAATTGAGGAAAGGAATAATGCAGCTATTGATGTGGTGGAAGATAGGTCAATGACACCCCACTTCAATTCAATGAAAGAGACAGAGAGATAGGTAGAAGAGAGACATAGATGATCAATGTTAAATCATTAGGGTGGATCAAGGAGGATGAGTTGCAAGGACAATGAGTGAGTAATCGAAGGGGGGCATGTGGAGGAACTATCGCCCGCGATGACTTAGGTTTTTCCATGGGTTGAGTGATCCAAAAAACATATTTTTTTTAACAATTTTCATTTTTCTTCCCCCACCACTTTCTTTTGGGTAAATTTTGTATAAGGGTAACATTGTGATTTTGTCATTATTTTAATGTGTAGAGCTCTCTATTCTAACTACCCATGCCTCATCTAGCGACTGTGAAGTACGTACCATCGAATGAGATGGATCCTGTTACATTTGCACTTTGTTTTCAAGTCTTAGGTGGTTTAGTGCAAAAATTAAATGTATAACATGGTGGTTTGCAATTGCCTTAAGTACAAGGAGGATTATTGCAATTACCCTTCTCAAATATAAGACATATTTCACCAATTTACATCTTCTAAAATGGAAAAAAAATTAAAATCTAGTTGTAAAACAACAAATGTTACAGTTGATATCCAAACTATGGAAATTATTCTTTTCTACAATTCATTTATGCATATTATTTCACTTCCAAAGTAATCAAAATTTGAACCAAGTCAATAAAAAAAGTTTTGTGTAAAATACAAGACATGTTTACAATATTTGTTTTCAACCAAGTTTTAGAACATAGAAGTCAGACACTCCAAATAGGATTCAATTTGTGTAGTCTGAACAAAGCTTGCCAAACCTAAGAAATGCCAAAAATAATTGCAAGCTAATTGACATATTGTCTTCTAAGTATAGATTTGAGTAAAAGAGTAAAATTAATTTGTCTAAGCTTGAAAATGATCCAGCAACTAACCTCTTCCCTTTCCAAGTACTGATCTTCCGACAAGAAATCCACAGCTTCTGAACCTAGAAAACAGTTTGTGAACCTGCGCATTTTGTGAAACCGGTCCTTAACAGCAATAGATTCTCTCATTTTCCGAACAATAACAGCTAGCTCATCTATAGCCCCACTACTGGACACATCATCTTCTCCAGAAAGTGGTGGCAGAGGAGCCTCAAATGATGGCCCTTCCGTCATTACAAACTCAATCTTCTCATCAAGCTTGCCAGACCCATCCAATTCCTTCAGTTCTGTCAACCCTCCTATGAGGACTTCATTAAAGAACACTCTGGGTACAGCAGAAGACCCACCAATCTTCTCTAACTCCAGCTTCCTATTAGGGTACACATCAATGTTGATTTCAACATATCTCAGCCTCTTCTGATGTAGAAATATCCTTGCCTCTTTGCAGTCCTGGCATCCTAACCGCGTATACAATATAATTCTTCCTTTCATGGCTATGAGCAGTGCTGATTCGTTGATGAAATCCTTCCTCTGTTCAGCTTTGTTTTCTGCATTAGCATCACGCGAAATCCCGATTAAACTAAGGGGATTCCACCCAGATCTGTCTACTGTTTTATGAGAGGCTTCTTGGGCCTCACTTTCTTTGGAAGAATCCACAACCTCCTTAGTGTTGCTATTGTTGTTATCTTCTTCATCAGGAATGACCTGTCCACCATCACTTTTCCCAGAAAGGCGACGCAGAACACTAGAAACCGCCACAGCACTCTTTTCCCTTACGAAGTTTGTAAGGGCTACTGCTTTCTCAGGCCAAGCATGTCCCTGTGTCTCTGAGTCAAGATCCAAAGAACGGGTAGATGAACTCCTGTTACCCTCCATCCCAGAAACCTCCGTTCCATCAAATACAGGCTCGGCCTCCTCCTCCTCATACAGAATTTCCTCAAGATTCTTGTTTGTTACTCTAACATTTTCTGACTCCAACCCTGCACTCTCACCCATCTTATTATTAAAGTCATCTAGAGTCTTTTCACTATCTACTTCAGGACTTCCCTCCCTGATGCTCAGCGATTTTACTTCCATAAGTGGTTCCACATCATCTTGTCTCTGAACATCAAGTTTCTTTCTCTCCAGATTCTCAGCAGATGGAGTATTAACTGTATTTTTCTCAGAAGAATCTTCCTTTTCCTGATCATTTTTCTGCGAATCAGGTGTATCTCCCTCCTTTTCTGCAGTTGAAGAATTCACTATGTTCTTCTCAGAAACATTTTCCTTGTCCTGGTGTTCTTTCTGAACCTCATGTAAATGCTCCTCCTTTTCCGTAGATGAAGAATTCAGTATTGCGTTCTCAGTTAAATTGTCTTTTTCCATAATGCCAATGATTTATCAAACTCAGATGGCCCTCAACAAAATGTAGAGGTTTGTGATGATAATATAAGGAGTTAATTGCAGTATCCTGCAACAATATTTACAAAATAACTTTATTATGTCTAAATTTATTGAAAACTACATGTGAAAATTAGCATTGAATTGCCAATGTATGGAATTCCATCATAACCCCAATAAAGGTTCTGTTGTTTATAATATTAGAAGGTAGCAAAAGTTCATACAATTCTAAAAGAAGGGACAAGGGACCAAAAGTAGACTTTCCTGAATTAATTACAGACTTTCAACTCCATAAAATGTGTCAGTAATTCAAAAATACCAAAGCCCCGTATGATCCCTCAGAATCAAGAGATGTATTTTTTCTATCAAATCCTTGTACAATGCTATTATTGTAAACAAAAAATGGCAATCAGAATTGAAACAGCATAAAATAACTCATTTGTAATCCATGCCTTACTTCAAAGTCTAATTTAATCATCAATTTTCTAAACAGGAAGCCTGGCAGAATTTATCCTCTTTTATTTAAAACACCACCCATAAGTGCCTATGGTGATTGAATTGGTTCTTTCTAGTAAAATACTGTTATAGCTCTTGCTACTTATTATGATTCCAGTGAAGGAATTATAGCATGTAAACTATTGCCTCTAAATGGGAGATGGTTCCAGCAAATGCACAATAAGTGCCTGAACTTTAATCGATGAAAAAGTCCACGGATCTTAAAAAACACAAAATGACCTCACTGAATTGAGGTGTTAACAGGGATATGTATCAACAATGTTGCCCAGTTCATTAGCCACAAAGCCTACACCCCATATCCTCAAATCAAGCAACCAAAACAGATTGATGAAAACCATAAACCCAATTCAAAAACACTACATCAACACATAATTGCACGACCATAGTTAAAAATAACTATATTGGAATGAAGAAAGTCGACGATAAACACCGATTACAGGAACACAAAATGCTATTCAAACATTTTGACGACAAATATTTGACTCAATTCAATCTCAACCCAGGCACAAAATTCCACAATTAGATATATAGAAATTAATCACACATTAAAAGGGGGTTTCTGCAATTCACTTAGCGAGTAGAAACATCGCAAAACAGCAGAGATATATATATCGATGGTATTGGGGACGAAATAGATAGTGAAACTTACAGATCTGAGTAAAATTGTTTAGACGGAAGAAGCTGATAAAGGCAATGGAGAGAGAGAGAGAGAGAGAGAGAGATCTAGAGGAGAGAGAGAGAGAATGGTAATGAATTGAATTTGGAGTGATTCAGAACTATGAATTGAAACCGTCGTAAGTTTTGGGCTCGTTCTTGTCAAAGAAGAGGGGGAAGTTGAGACCAACGCGAGAAGCGGGAATTGTCAAGTGTCGTTGCCTTTCAACGAAACTCTCCCCAACTTTTATATTTACGGGAACAACCCCAAGTTTGGTCATGGAATTGGTAGTTTGTTCTTCTTTCGTTTTGTTCCCAGTGTCATTGCCTTACAACAAAACCCTCCGACATTTTTGTATTTAAAGACCAAACCCCCATTTTTGGATAAGACAGTGGGCCGGTTTGAAACTAACGTAAATAGGTAGTTTTTAAGGGTGTGTTTGTTTGGAAGGATAAAGGTGGATATCACAAATAGGATTAGATAATAAAAATCGGGGGCTCACATATCTCAGCATTGGGTTCTCTAAAAAGGATAGGATTTTCGTTAGGCTTGAATTAATTGGCCCGTAGGAATTTGGCCTGTTCTCCCGCCTGATTAGGATTCCTGAAAGTTGAAGTTTGGGATTAGTAAGCCCACCTACTGGATAAGAATAAAATTATTAAAATGCCCATTAACAATAATTAAGATAGGGTTTTTACCCTCTTTCCCTTCCCTTTCACCTGGTCCCCCGCTTTGACAACAGCGCAGAGTCTTCAGCAGAATGTAACAAAATCTGTCTCTCTCTCTTTTACTCTCTCTCTCCTTCTTGTGTCCCTCTTCTCTCTATCTCTTGCCTGGTTATGATTTGTTGGTCCCTTTGTCTCTTTGTCTCTCTCTTCCTCTCTTCCTTCATGGCTGACGCCTGAAACGTTGTTGGGTCCAAGGATTTTTTTTTCGTTTGTACAATGCTATGTATTTTTTTGTAATCTACTAGTTGAGAGATGAAATCCTCTACACTTTCTTGTTTTGGTTGTCTCCCATACTCGACAGAGGACCTTTCCATGGCTAACACCTAAAAATTTTCGGCATGATATATTTATTTTTTTCAACCAGTTATATGTTGAAATGAAAATGTAGAACAAGTATGATACATTTTAATTTTTCAACCAGTTACATTCCAATCGTAGCATATATACTGAAATGAAAAAGAATCAGTTCAATCTTTTGACTAGTGCTTGTCCAGTCACATTTCCATAGCCAGTAGATTACATACATCAAACTGTGCGATCAACATAACTTCTTTTTTGCTTACTGGGTAGTGTAAATCTTTTGTATACGTAATTGTTTTTGCTTATGTATTGTTTTTCTCTGTTTTTGTCTATTTTGGAATTCAGTTTAAATACTTTAGATATCTTTAAATAAAGTTACTATTAAAAAGAATAGAAGAATTGTGAAAGAGGAAGAGAGTGGTATTTGTTGATAAGGGATAATGACTTGGACTTTGGTTGGAGTTTTTTTTCTGCGAAGACAGTGCTGGTCTGTTTGAAATATTGGGAGAGGGTGTGGATGATTGTGATGAAGCTGCTGGGCTAAATGATGTTTGAATGTTTTTTGGTCTTGTTGATAGGTTTGTTGAGTTTTTATAGGGCTTTTGTGCCTTGGAGTTATTGGTTTTTGGTAAGGCAGTTGTGCCCTTTATTGCTTCTTGTAATTATTTTTTTTGTTAATAAATAAAACACTCCTTAAAAAAATAAAAATAAAAAGAATAGAAGAATTAAATAGTAAAGTGACCATTTTGTTAAACAACCATCAACTCCAAAAACTTAAAAGTATTTGGTTGGGTGTGATTCAATTCAAGTATTTACATTTCAGCAGTTATTCATCAAAAGCTTAAGCTATTATTGGGGGTGTAAGTTAAGTATTTATATTTCTAGCACATTGAATTTCCAAAAAATCAACGTAATGCTACATAAATTTTCAGTTTGTTTGATCAAAATAATTATCTAAAATAACAATGTTGTTAGGATTTCGAAATTTCGATTTGATGTGTATAATTTTCTTTCGTAGAGGGAGAGTTTTTATGTTTTGATTTGAGGCAATGGTTATTTGGATAACTCTTTTTACTATGGTCATTTTGGAATGGATGACCTGACTTCACATGGGAGGTGGTTAAGCCCCTCAAATGGGAGAAGCCCCAAGATTAAGTTTTTACTGTTTAATTGTTGCAGGTGATCAATAATGTGTTTGTTCTTTGCTACTGCTGTCTTGCCCATGAATCCACTCGAAGTTTGCTTGTCACTGTGTTCTATCCTTTTTCTTCCTTCTTTTATTTTTTTGCATGTCATGGTCAAACAGGATATGTGAAGATTGGATGTGAAGATTGGGAGATATATGGAGAGTCTGGTGGCAGTTGATGAAAACATTTTAGAAAAAATTCTGCCACTTGGTAGACTAAAAAAAGTGCTCAATTGTTTATGATAAAGGATCACACTACTTGACTATATGCATATGTTGTATATAATTTTTCTTATTAACACATGTTTTGTTCTTTTTTACATGTTTTGAATGAGGTTCGTATATAGTTTTTCTCATAATGACTTCTTGTATTTTTCTTGGTGCTTGGAATTAATTTTATCGTCTTTTAATTTTTAAAAATAAATAACGGTTAATTTCTACTATAGTTCATTTGAATTTGGGTTGTATCGTAGTTTTTCATATATTCTGGCATTCTTTGTCCTAAATTTTTTAAAATCTTTGATGTAAGAAATAAATTTGTGAGCAACTTATAAAGTTGTATTATAAAATCAATGTGTAATAACATGTATTTGGTGAATACATAAACATTCTTATATTTTTCACATTATTAAATTGGTAACCAATAATGATTAAAAAGTAAAAAAATAATTATTTCAAAAGTGTTGTCAAGCCAAAAATGAGGTAGGATTGGATAAGATTCAAGGGTAAAATGGTCAATTAATGTCAACAATATTAGATATTTAATAAAAAATTGTAGTTTGTTCATATCTCAAACCCTTTCATAATGCACTATCCAAAGCAGAGATTGAATAACACAATTTTCTTTTATCCCCCCACATATCCAGCCTATTGGGATTTCACTAAATTGGTTTGGGATTTAAATCCAATTCATCTATAAATTGTCAAACATACCCTAAGGGTTTTTAGAATAAATAAGTCAGTTCGATTTAAACTTTGACTTTTTTATTAGCTAATGCAATACTTTTCTAGACAAAAAAAAATAAAAAATATTTAAGTTAATTCAAAAAACTGATTTTATAGCTTTTCTTTTAATTTTTTGAAATTTTATCCTGGATCCTACATAATTTTTTAATTTATTATTTTATAAAATATTATTAGTAACGTATAAAAATTTAAAATTCATATTTTAAGAACTATTAACTATATTTTTTTAATTTCAAACAGTAACTTTTTATATAAAAAAGTCAACTCCAAACAAGTCTTTTGCGATTTGGATTTGGAGCAAACTTAGACCGAATTTATTCACTTAAGGGTTAATCTCATTTTACACCCTGAAAGATCATTCGAATCTCAATTTGCACCCTTAAAGATCAAAAATCTCAATTTGCACCCTCAAAGATAGAAATTTGTATCAATGTACACCCCCAAAGATCAAAAATCTCAATTTGCACCCTCAAAGATATAAATCTGTATCAATGTGCACCTAAAATTAAATTGATAAATTATACCTAGATCCCCTCTTGTTTGTCATTTAATCATTTGAACCCCTTCACATTTAGAATATTACCCCTACATCTCATGACATTTGTACATGTGTAAACATAACCACTTTTCGTTGATATCTATTAATATAATCATTAAAAAATATGATTTTATCCTAATAAAAAATTATAATTTCATATTACTCTTTATTTTGTGGATTCGATATACTCTAAAGTTCAAAATCAAGCTTATCATTTGAATGTCTAATAGAATGTAGATATTTATATAAAGGAAAATATGAAAAAACATTATATAAATATCTACATTTTATTAGACATTCAAATAATAAACTTGATTTTGAATTTTAGAGTATATTGGACCCATAAAATAAGGATAATATGAAATTATAATTTTTTATTAGGATAAAATTATATTTTTTAACGGTTATATTAACAGATATCAATGAAAATGAGTTACATGTTGTACGTGCATAAATGTTATGAGATGTAGGAGTAATATTCTAAATGTAAAGAGGTCCAAATGATTAAGTGACAAACATGAGGAGATCTAGGTATAATTTATCAATTTAGTTTTAAGTGCATAATGATACAAATCTCTATATTTGAGAGTGCAAATTGAGATTTTTTTATCTTTGGGGTGCATATTGATATAAATTTCTATCTTTGAGGGTGCAAATTGATATTCGAACGATCTTTCGGGGTGTAAAATGAGATTAACCCTTCACTTAATTACACTCTGTCATCAGATTGAAAGTCGAATCCATTATCAATTCAATAATTATAGTGTATTAAGTCAGTAAATAGGGTTAGCAAAATTAGACCTGTATAATATTTTTTATTGAGTTTTTTTTTCTTTTTGTTTAATAGCAAAGTATACTTTGAGTCAACTCGCCACGTGGATGTTTGTGGACAGGTCATTAGTCCATTAAATTAGAAATACACATTTTTTTATGGGTCTTTTAAAAGTCGGTAGACCAAGTTATACATAATTGTAAAAAAATACATCTAACAAAATATTTTGAAAAAAATATTTAAATTTTTTTTTCCTACAAACTTTAACAAGGCATTTATTAAGCGTTGAAATTTAAAATTATTTAATTTAAAATCTCTTATCTTTAATACACCTTGATTTATGAGTATTTTTTTTAAGTAGTTTTATTTTTAAATTATATTTATTTATTAAATATTTATTACTACTAGTTTTATAGGAGAATTTTAATATTCCGTTTATTTTAGAATATATAACTTGTTTAAATTCTAAAATTTGTTAATATCCAAACTCCATAATAATGCAACAAGTACACGGTAACAAAAAAACAGTGTAACTATACACTGTATTCAGTAGTTTTGTGCATGAAACAGAGATAAAATGTTTTGAATGAAATTATATAAAAATATATGTTTGACAAAATGTAATAGTACAATATTTTGTATAAATGACTTGTTACACTATTATTGTTATATTGTTCGAATATTAATATAATTTTAAAAAAAAATTATTTTTCAAAAAAAAAAAATACGCATGAATTAAGGTACATTAAATATAATTTAAAAACAAAACTATTTTTCAAAAAAAAATACACATGAATCAATGGAGAACATACAAATATGGAATATTAAAGTTCTCCCATAAAAGTAGGAGATGTTTAATGCACCACTTTCCAAAGAAAATACGCATGGATCAATGGAGGACAAAAATGTCACAAAAAAAAATCAATAAAATTCAAATAATGTACTTAAATATAAATAAATATTAAAATTAAGAACTTAATTACTCAACATTTTTTTCTGTGCACTTTTTTACAATTAAGTCTAATTTGGTGTACCCCTCCCCTTTTTTTATTCTAAATAGATTACTTATTTTGAATTTAAGTGTGATCCATTTTCTATAAAACAGATCCCTATTAACATAAGGCAAAAGATCTATTTTATAAATGATTTGTCGATAAAGAAATTAAAGATAAAATATATTACAAGAGATCTGAATCCAAACTTGCGACTATCGATCCTTGGGTGGGCCATAGAACAGACCCGTTTGATCAATCACTTTCGAACGACCCGACCCAGCGAAAATAGAGGGAGAGAGCAATCGTTATTTAAAAACAAAAAGGTAATTGAACCCGACGTGAATCGAACACGCAACCTTCTGATCTGGAGTCAGACGCGCTACCATTGCGCCACGGATCCACTTGTCTGTCTAACTATTCTCAAAATAGTATATAATAATTACTAAATGCAAGGTACTCTTCCACCTCCGCTGCTAACGGTGATCGCACGCCATCGTTGACACGTGATTGGTATGCGATACTACTTTAACATAGTTTATTAACCTAATTTGCTAACTTAATCATTCATAACTATTGGATTAACAGCGGGCCTTACTATTTGTTGGGACCCATAATTAATCTAATGGTTGTGATGAATTAGATCAGTAAATTAAGTCCAAATAATATAAATGACTATTTTAACGTGACAGTTATTAGATAAGGTAGTTATTAATAGTTATTAAAATAATAAAAATGTCCAAGTCCATCTGATATTCTATAACTGATTAGTGATACCACGAGCGTTGATAACGTAATGTTATCGTTATATTGAATATTTGTCGCAACACTCATCATCTGGTACCCTAAAGATTCAAAAAAAATTGGTACCATAATAAAAGTGATTAATTAGATATTGTGGATGTTTGTTAGGTCCAGTTTTTTGCCATTGATTGTAAAAATCAAATAAGAAAACTTTTAACATGTCAAGTTTTTATTGGAGGAAAAACGGAGGTATGGACCATATGATACCTCCGACCCAGAAAAAAATAGTCAATAGAAAAAAAAAATTAATACACACTACGTGACCGTGTCAGATAATGTATGCCACCAATAAAATTTTAATGTGTATTACTCTGTTAGAATTTCTTTTGAAAAGATCACTTGTGTATAACTTTTTTCAGTCAATAGGGTTCCACTGAGGCAATAAGGTTTTAGGTGGGCATGAACAGTCTTTGGAGTGAATGAACTTAGTTAACTTCTTGTATGCCTTCATGGGTGGTGAAGTCTCTGTTTTTTTTCATTTAATAATGGTATATTTTAGAGATTTTGACTATTTTTATCACTATTGTTCAATTTTATTGTCTTAAAATCGTTTTTTTTTTTTTTTTTTTAAATTTGACTAGTTAGTGCTGTTTAAATGAATGGATGACATAAACCCATGATTGTCAATGTAAAAGCATGTTTATAATACCCAACCAAAAAAACGATCAACAAGTCTAGGTCCAATTAGTTTATTTTTATCAAAAACAATCCAAAAAAAAACACTAAGAGAACACATTCAAGATAGCGTATTGACGCTAATAAAAAATAAAAAAAAATCATTCAACCGAGGACAAATAGTAAGAATAAAAACTTCATAGAGTCAAGTTGCATTTACAGATATTTGGAACCTCAAACCCAAAATTTTCCAATACAGCGACACATTAGAACTATTGATAGGTTAAGTGACACAAATAATTATGGAAAAAATTGAGAATAAATAGCTAGGAAACATTATTTTATCTAGTGAATACAAGCACAACCGGGTGTTCATTGGTATCAAGCACTCCATTTTCGTCTAATAAACAGTAACTACTTTCTACTCTTGGGGGATCCAAATTGCTCAAAGTATACAGAACTACTTCTTTACTTGAATTCTGCAATTTCGAAGACCCGGGCAGTTCCATCAATGGAGGCCGAAACTAGGAATTCGCCATTAGCAGATACAGTTAAAGACTGGAGGACATCCGAGTGCCCACTAAAAGTTCTCACACAATCTCCAGAGAGGGTGTCCCATATTTTTACTTTGCCATCAGCACACCCAGTGGCCAGGTACCTAGATGCACCTAGCCATGACAAGCATGTCACCCCTTCCTGAATGCCATGTGATATAAAGGAACGTGAAAAATCAGAGAGTTCACTTAACTAAACATGAAATTGACTGAACGAAAATTAAATGGCGGACACGTCTGGGAAAACAAAACTCATTGCACAGAAAACTTAACATTTAACAAACCTCATGATCACATGTGGAACGTGAGGATGAATGCTGCAAATCCCATATAATAAGCTTTTGATCCATGCCTCCTGTTGCAGCCCATGGGACACTAGTATACAGTTTTGAAATCGAACAATGTCAGGCAGCATTAAACCAGATTTCTTTTGACAAAAATCATTAAGCAAGATTCTATAATTGTCATTTCTTTGGCCTGAAGCAATAGCACCAATCTTATTTTTCTCAGTCCAAATTCAAAAGTAACAGGAACCTACCCATTTCTGGTCTAAAATAGAGACACATTTGATGCTCAAAGATAAACAAAAATCTTGAGTTAACTAAAGTAAATGTTATGACCCAAGAGTTTCACTGGATGATTTATAACCAGGGGCAGAGCTAGAAGTTTGGCGTTGTGGGGGTAAAAAGTTTAACAACTATAATACGCATGAACTTTATTCAGTGACTTAATCGAGACTTGTTGCATTAGTACCATTGGTTTAGCAAAATAGATTGCATTCAATGTTAAGACCTAATGCTAATTCAATGATGACAATATATAGAATTCTTAAATTAGGTCCCAAATATTTCACTTTTAACAATAGTTAGCTTAAAATTTTTGAACTAATGATGAATAAAAATAGGTGATCCAATGAGTGGATCCCCTCTACTACAAAATCTAGGAATGATCAAATATGTGCAGTCTTACCCAGAATGTGAAAGGATGTTTCAACGACTTGTATTATTGGCACCTCGGTCATAACAGAACAACCTTACATTTTCAACTATCACCAACTTAATTTTCATATTACAAAAAATTAAATTAGCAGGGAGAGAGAACGAAGGATTTTAGGATGATTTCTTCAACACATTTTGAGGGATTCAATGAACTAAATATTATTTTCGCTCACTTAATTGAGAGTACAACTTTAATATATATATAACATGATTTAGTAAATTAAAATGATTGAGATTTTTTTTTGTGGGGGCTTTGGCAAAACAAAATTGAGTGGGGCCTAAGACCTGTGTAGCTTCACCACTGTTTATAACACAGATGCACACTAAGCTCCCATGAATACGTTCATTGGGCAGCATTCCCTTGTTGCAAGACATAAGTTTATGTCTGAATTTCAATATTACCTAAGTTTGTATATAGTTGTTTATCTTTTCATAATTTTTGTCCATAATAAAGCTTTTCAGAAAACAAAATTTAGAGAGTAGGGACTAGGAAGAGTTTTGAGGAATATATCATACCTTGCCCCGAGACCAACACATTCAATTGAATCTGTGTGACCACTTAGAGAACTAACAACCTATGGAGAACAAGCAACTTTATTAATAAACTGCCAAAGAAAATAAAATGAAGTCGTCTATAACATGCCCACCTGTTAGTTTACTGTTGACCTTTAAAAAATGTGGTAATGATAACACAAAAATGATCACTGCAACCAGAATTCTAACCTTCCCAGTTGTTATATTCACAATGTGAAAGGAACCATCCTTTGAACCAGTAAAAGCAAGAGCTGAATCAGAGCTTATCGTCAAACATGTCAGCCCTTCAGTGTGATATGGATGACCTTATGAAATAAGATATCATATGTCAAAAACATTGCAAAAGCGTACATTTTGGAAATAAGAATTTGCTCATACGCAACTTTCATTCTCTAAAAATTTCAGCTTCTTTTTCTTTCTACTACTTCAAACACATAGATGGACACCAAATTTGGCCATGAACTTAGGTGGAGTTCAATTTGCATTCTGCTTTCTAGACATTATATTTAAGACTTATGATATTACAAGCTCAAATTTGTAATCGAACAGAAATACTTAAAATATTTCTTTATTAAGAATACTTTTAGTTTAAGAAAACATGTATTGAGCACATCAGGCAGTGAGTTATGCCAGCATAATTTTACCTTAGAAACTGAAATTTTCAAGTACATTAGCATTCAAAGCAAAATACAAGAAACTGCCAAGAGAAATCCAGATACATACCTCTGACAACGTGGATGTTTTCACCACTTCTTGGATTCCATATCCTTAAAGTCGCATCATCAGAACCAGTACAAATAGTTTTACCTTCCAGCCAAAAAAAAAGTGAGTCAAAGGAATCACTCAAAAGCTTTAGGCCCAGAAGCAGGGCCTGGGGGTGGGGGAGGGATGGGGAGCATTAAGAACCAATATTTCTTGACAAAAAGAGGGTGGTACCATCAGGAGTAAAATCACCGCAGGTAACACAACTGGCATGTCCTGAAAACATATTAAGATAGGCAGCCCTGTCAGCATTCCACATCCAAACAGTGCAATCCTCAGAACCCGCCAAAACCAGATGTCCTTTGGGATGCCACCTGACCCACTGAGCAGTCTCATGGTTCATACTTGGGCTATGTAAATTGACCAAAAGACTATACAACCACTAAGAACATCATAAAATTTCACCTCAATGCCTCCTCCGGGACCTTCAAGTGTGCACTTCAGATTACCCGCAGATATATCCCACACTCGGGTAAGCCCATCAAAGCTACCAGATGCAAGCAACTGTCCATCAGTACTGAAAGCCAAACTAGACACAGTATCCTTGTGACCTGCACACAGAGTTTGGAGAACTTCAACTAAAGCACAAGCAATCGAGAATGTAAGATCCAATTTGAATTTGTTATTTTGAAAAGAAGCAGATAATGGTTTTGGTGGAAGTAGGAAACAAGTCAGAGTGACATATCGTTAACCATGTGAAATACAAATCATGTATCAGTGGATCAATAAGTACCTTCTAACTCAAAATCCCAATCTCCTTGGCCAATCTTCCAAAGGAATCCTCTATCATCTCCACCCCCTGTTGCCACCAATGCGGCATCAGTTGGGCTGCATGCAACTGTGTAAAGTTCACCTACGTCAAGCAAAAGGAAAAAGATTACTCTCTGAAACTTCTAACTTGCTTGAGGCATAGCAATAATTGGATATCTGCTACAATTTATAACTGTATTGTGATGCAATTGGACACCAACAAACACGTGCAAGTGACATGAACAAGCAATATTGTACAGGCATGGATCCCAACCAGGCCTTGGTGTACCATTAAGGTGTCATAAAATATCAGCAGCAAAGGTTGACATTGCTAACAAGGATGAATCCACCCAAACTTGATGTAAAACCATAAGTTCAGCACTTTTTAGATCTACTAATCTATGAGCAAACGAAAGGAAGGAAACAAGTACACTTTCATTTTCTATACTTTTTTTCTTGTCACAGCATTCTCTTTCTTACATTGTCTTCCGCATCAACTTGTTGAAAAGAGGATTAGTTAGTGATTTAGCCAAGTATTTTCCCAATGCCTTTTGAAATCCAACTCTCTTGTCTGGTTTCCCTGTTTGAGAACTGGATTGCAGCCCAGCTTCTCTCCATTTCTCTCTTGCCATCCACTTTTTCCATAAATCACAACTCACATTATCTTTCTTATTGAAACAGGATTTCAAGTTAAAATCATCTAACCCCACACATCTCTATCTTCTCTGTTAAGTTTGGAAGATTAACATAATATTAGAGACAATATTTAGGAAAAAATAGAGAGAGGTTAAAAACTTAACCTAACTCTCATATATCACTTATATTTATAATTAACTCACAATAATAAGAATTACACATACACCCTCTTACTATTAATAATTTACACATACTACCCTATTATTCTTAACACTCTCCCTAAAACTGGACTATATATATCATATAATCCAAACTTCGAACAAATCGCTGTAAGACGTGTACGACTCAATACTTTGGTAAACATATCTGCAAGCTGATCTTCAGATTTTACAAATGGAGTTGTAATCTCCCTATCTACTATCTTGTCCCGAATAAAGTGACAATCAACCTCAATATGCTTGATTCTCTCATAAAACACCAGCGATATGGATAACTGTCTGGTTGTCACAGAACAACTGTAAAAAAGTTGAACTAGAAACCCAATTTTCTGGAGGAAGTGTAGTAGTCAAATCAACTCACTCGTCGTATGTGTCATTGCCCTATACTCAGCCTCAGCACTGGATCTTGCTACCACGGATTGTTTCTTACTCTTTCATGAGACAACATTACCTCCTAAGAAAGTACAATAACCAGTGGTTGATTTTCGATCAGAAGGAGAGTCAGCCCAATCAGCATCTGAGAAACCTTCCACTCTAAGATGTCCATTAGCTCGATATAACAATTTAAGTCCGGGAGCTCGTTTGAGATATTACAGAATACGAGTAACTGTCTCCCAATGTGGTACTCTAGGACACCCCATGAACTGACTTTATAGAAAATATTCGATCGAATAATTGTGAGATAATTGAGCTTCCCAACTAATCTGCAATACAGACCCGAATTCTCTAACAGTACACCATCATCAATCAAAACTTTCTGATTCGGATCCATAGGAACATCAATAGGTCTGCCACCCAACAAACCTGCTTCCTCTAGCATGTCAAGTACATATTTCCTCTGAGATAAACAAATACCCTCTTTAGATCGAGTCACCTCAATACCCAAGAAATACCTGAGTTTTCTCAAATTCTTAGTATGAAATCGATCCTGCAAAAATATTTTTAACTAGGCAATCCCCTCAGAATCATTTTCAATAATCACAATATCATCTATATAGACCACCAATAGAACATATCCAACATCTATCTGTCTATAAAATACAGAATGATCTGTCTGACATCGAAGAAGACCAAACTCTAAAACTGCATCTGAAAACCTACTAAACCATGCCCTCGGTGACTGCTTCAAACTATACAAATATTTCTTTAACCGACATAAACTCTTACCATATTCCCCCTAAGCAGTAAACCCAGATGACTGCTCCATGTATACCTCTTTAACAAAGTCACCATCTAGGAAGGCATTCTTGACGTCTAACTGAAACAAAGGTCAATCAAGATTAACAGCCAAAGAAATCAAGATACGAACCAAGAAAATTTTGACAACAGGAGAGAAAATCTCTTCATAATCAACACCATAAGTCTGAGTAAAACCCTTTGCAACAAGCCGGACTTTGAGACGCTCCACAGAATTATCCGGATGAAATTTAACAGCATACACCCAACGACAACCAACAGTTCATTTACCAGGAGGTAAGGGAACGAGATCCCAAGTCCCGTTATGATGTAAGGCATCCATCTCCTCCTCCTCCATACCTTTCCTCCAACCCGGGTCAGATAATGCATCTTGTAAATGCTTAGGAATAGATATAATAGATAATTTGGAAGTAAAACAAGAGAAGACAGGAGACAACGCATCATATGAAACAAAATAAGTAATGGGATGATTAATAACACACGAACAAGTACCTTGTCGAAGAGCAATAGGTAAAGAGTCTAAATTACCTGATGTACCAGAATCAGAAGGCAGCAAGGAAGACGGTACGGGCACCTTAGTCGACGGGCGAAGAAGGCCAGAGTAGACATGGAAAGGTAAAGTAGATGGTAACACAGTGGGCAGCAGAATATCTAAAGATGAGGAAAGAGATGGTGGTACAGGAGATGACCCAAAGTC